ATATTTCATTTCTAGAGAACCCATGCGAAGACTTGGGTTTAATACCTTCTCATTCATGTTCATATGAGTATCTTTGTAACACAGTTTTTTCAAAGCCATGAGCGGTTTTAAACGATGGTGTTGTGTTTCATCGATATTTTAAAACTCAACATGTGAGCTTTCAACATATTCACATTCTGATTACCCAGTAGATGTTACCCATGTGTATACGCCCCAACACGATATGTCCGCACATTATGGACGGTGACAAAAACTAATGCCAGGAAACTAGTGGTAAATAACTAGAAGTGGAAAGTATGGAAACAGAGTAACCCTGTGTGGATCTTATGGCAGGTCTCAAGATTGTGAGGCTTGCATCTGCCGATGTCTGTATCTGACAGACAGCAAAATGGATTTTGCTTTAAAAGGCACTCAGTACTATGAAAGTATGTAATCGATGTGGATATAGATATATATCACATGTTTGACAATGGGCCACTAGACCGTGCGTTGACTTTGATCTCACTTGGTGGAACTGTTCATACTATATTTGTATCGTTCGAACATACAAGTATTTACACCTTGTTGTCACTGTCAACGCAATGAATTGTTATGTTTATGCATACATTAATCTTTCACAATTGCAATCGAACCGCCAGTTATATGTGCTGGAGTACATAGAAGATGTCGTGTTATCTGACGTGTGGGTCGAAGCCGATGTTGCAGGAGTTGTCGATATCGCTAATGAATCTGTAATCGAAGATCCTTTTCAACTGGGAGTTCGCGGTACATACTGGGTATTACATTGAGATCCAAATAAGATATATGCTAGGTCGTTAAGGTTGACGAGAACTCTTAGGGCGCGCTCTTGATTTCAACTTCTTTCCATTGAACTGAGGAACTGGTCGATTTAGAAATACCGTAAAAAGCTGGGGACTTTCATCGTACTGGCACCGGAAATGTTACAACACGGGGTTTGTCGACAGGACACCATTCTGTAATTTGCATCAGTACCGTGACTGTTGTATGGTCTTCTTGTGATCAATACTGTTTCATGCTCAAGTGAGTTAGATTTCGCAGGTATTGTGTGACATCGTCTATAGTAAAACAAGAGTCTGAAGCAGAGATTTAATACTGGGGACAAAAAAAACAGTGCGGAAAGGCTTAGGAGGTTCCAACCAAGAAGAAGCGGATCCTTGCACGACGAAGGACAACTACCCTGCCCAGTCAACCAATGTGGCGCTGTCATGTCCGTAAAATACACTAGGTTGGGTTTCCTATGTGATACCTAGGCTTGATGCACACACTTGCTTTACTCGCAGTGACTGTATTACTTTATTGCACGGAAACTACCATTAGGCCGTAATAACCCCGACGATTATTTGTCACTGGATGTCTGTATGTCTGGACAGGCGGAGGGTATAGCCGCTTCTTTATACTTGCGTTGATGTAATGAAATGTGATTATTCACCACTTAACTCTAAAGTTGCCAAATGTATCAAACTGGACTTTTTTCAGTGTTTTAATATGTATCAATATGCTGTATGTTCTCGGTGTCACTAAATGTGATTGTTTAGAATAACACTTCTGTTCTGTTCTGTTCTGTTCTGTTCTGTTCTGTTCTGTTTTGAGCTGTCTGTTTTGGGCACCTTTGTTCCACTTGATCGATTATGTAATGTGTTGTCTTAATAAACTGAATAAACCACATCCCTGGACTTTGCATGTCTTTCCACTGGTTTCCTGGTATAAGTAGTTGCCACTAGTTTCCTGGTATAATTAGTTGCCACTAGTTTCCTGGTATAAGAAGTTGCCACTAGTTTCCTGGTATAAGTAGTTGCCACTGGTTTCCTGGTATAAGTAGTTGCCACTAGTTTCCTGGTATCAGTAGTTGCCACTGGTTTCCTGGTATAAGTAGTTGCCACTAGTTTCCAGGTATAAGTAGTTGCCACTAGTTTCCTGGTATAAGTAGTTGCCACTAGTTTCCTTGGTATAAGTAGTTGCCACTAGTTTCCTTGGTATAAGTAGTTGCCACTAGTTTCCTGGTATAAGAAGTTGCCGATAGTTTCCTGGTATAAGTAGTTGCCACTAGTTTCCTGGTTTAGGAAGTTGCCACTAGTTTCCTGGTATAATTAGTTGCCACTAGTTTCCTGGTATAAGAAGTTGTCACTAGTTTCCAGGTATAAGTAGTTGCCACTAGTTTCCTGGTATAAGTAGTTGCCACTAGTTTCCTGGTATAAGTAGTTGCCACTAGTTTCCTGGTATAAGTAGCTGCTACCAGTTTCCTGGTATAAGTAGTTGCCACTAGTTTCCTGGTATAAGTAGTTGCCACTAGTTTCCAGGTATAAGTAGTTGCCACTAGTTTCCTGGTATAAGTAGTTGCCACTAGTTTCCTGGTATAATTAGTTGCCACTAGTTTCCTGGTATAGGAAGTTGCCACTAGTTTCCTGGTATAAGTAGTTGCCACTGGTTTCCTGGTATAAGTAGTTGCCACTAGTTTCCTGGTATAAGTAGTTGCCACTAGTTTCCTGGTATAAGTAGTTGCCACTAGTTTCCAGGTATAAGTAGTTGCCACTAGTTTCCTGGTATAAGTAGTTGCCACTAGTTTCCTTGGTATAAGTAGTTGCCACTAGTTTCCTGGTATAAGTAGTTGCCACTAGTTTCCTGGTATAAGTAGTTGCCACTAGTTTCCTGGTTTAGGAAGTTGCCACTAGTTTCCTGGTATAAGTAGCTGCTACCAGTTTCCTGGTATAAGTAGTTGCCACTAGTTTCCTGGTATAAGTAGTTGCCACTAGTTTCCTGGTATAAGTAGTTGCCACTAGTTTCCTGGTATAAGTAGTTGCCACTAGTTTCCTGGTTTAGGAAGTTGCCACTAGTTTCCTGGTATAAGTAGTTGCCACTAGTTTCCTGGTATAAGTAGTTGCCACTAGTTTCCTGGTATAAGTAGTTGCCACTAGTTTCCTGGTATAAGTAGTTGCCACCGTGACACCAACGCCGTGAGATTAACCGTAGTCAATGAAAACCCGTCGCTCCTGCTTACATATTTGTTTTTAAACATTACTATTTTTGTTTTCCCCCTTGTTTATATTCAGTTACCATTTCTGACATATTTAGGACTTGTAACATTTGTTGAAGGGAGCAGGGTAATGTCTAAACATTGACAGCATGCAGTCATCAACATTCATCATTATCAACAACGAAGCCTTCCAAATCCAACAATGCTGTTTTGATAACTAATCCCTTTTGGTTTTGATAACACATTGCTACCTAAAAGTTGGAAAGATACATCAAAGACGCTCATAAACAGATTAACTTAGACAAGATCTAAGTAAACATGCTTTACTCAAGCCTGTTTTGATTATTAATCTCTTTCGCAGAGTATTAATGACGAAGACTGTGTTACCAAAATGTTTTGATCACTAATCTCGTTGGATGTTTTCTACTCAAAAGTTCAGAAATATCATCAAAGGCACCCATAAACAGATTAACTATGACAAGATTAAGTCAGGATTGTCAATGCATTCTCTCCATATTCACCTGGAAATATGTATAATTTTCACCATCAATATTCAGGAAATTTTGAAAATCACGAATTTTCAGGAAATCTATATTTCTAGTGAATCAGATATTTTTGAAACTTTCAAGAATTTCCTGTTACAGATATAACCTTTACTCATTTTCTCCAGTGCGGACGGCAATAGAGCGATATACTGAACGACAATGTTGGTAGCATATTCGAACGAGTATGAAAGAACAAAGGCCTTTTTTCATATTTTGTCTTGCGTCATAACATATATATATTAAACTACTCAAAGTTGGCTAATGATAACATTGTGAAAAGATGATACGTAAACATGGGTGCATGTGTTGAAAAACACAAAGACGATATTGTGTGAAGCTATGTTTAATGACCCATAGGCGGATCCAGAGGGGGGGTGCAGGGGTGCGCACCCCCCCTTTTGTGGTGAAAGTTTGTTAAATGACCATTGAAACTCGGGTGAAAATGAAGTGTGCAACCCTCCTTTTCCCAATAGTGTGCACCCCCCCTTTGTCAAAAAGCTGTATCCGCCCCTGTGACCTAATGTTGGTTTTGATTTGCCACACAGTGAGAAGAAACAACATGTAACCAATAATCAAATAAATCACGAAAACAAATTCACTTTAAAATTAAACTCTCAGTTGCCCGTATGTGATCCACGTGGTGCGATCACAGCCTGCCACCTTTTCTTCATGCTCCCAATAACCAGCTGTCAAAGAGGTGAAGATTGGTCCACTCTTTGTCGAGGACTTTTTGCGGCTCGTTCAAAATGTGTTCGAGCAAAATCTCTATATCTGTACTAAACAGAAGATTCTTGGATCATCTCAAACTCACCCAGAAGCACAAACTGGATTCAGGAAAACGACCACATTTGTACATTTAACAGTATGATTAAACTGATGAAATCACACGAAATGAAGCTTTAAGCATGCTTAAGAGTGAGTGAGCTGAGTTTTACGCCTATTTTGCAATATTTCAGCAATATCACGACCAGAAATGAGCTTCACACTTTGTACTCATGTGGGGAATCGAACCCGGGTCTTCGGCGTGATGAGCCTACGCTTTAACCACTTGGCTACACCACCGTTGTAGATGTTGTTAACGCATTTAATCATTCACGGAGGGATGGACTTTGTAAAAAAAATTGAATATGGGAATAAATGAACAATTCTTGAAAATAATCATTAACATGTAAAATGGTATTAAATGAACCTCCTTATGAACCTCGAACCTTGCAAGAAACTTTAATGAATCCATCCCAACTGACATACCATTATTAAATATTGCACGGACTAATGTTTATAGTGTGGGCTTGAGGAAGATTTCACAGCGGTAGCTAATGGTTACTGATAGGTAATATGTTTTCAGTTTAGTTCTATTTAATGCTATTACATGCAGCGGATGCAAACCTTCATAATTCATTTCTATTTCTTTCGTGAATATATTACATTGTGAATGTATGTATAAAAAATCATTTAAATAGGCATTAAGGTTTAGGTCATGTATATTATGGTATTGTTTAATGAGACGTGATATAACACCATCTTGTTTACATGAACTGTTGAGACTGAATTCTTCTTCTCTGCATTTCAAAAAGTACATGTGTGGAAAGTTATCTTTCCAAGTTGTAGTACATGATGTTTCTAAGGATCAAAGGTTTTGAAAGAAAGCCATTTCCTCTACCTTATTTAGATAGGTAACTCCAGATTAATGGCATGTTGTGTATGGCACAATGTATGGATGATTCTTTAGTCCAGGACGCATGGATAGTCTTCTATATGTATTTTACTCGATTTTCTAAATTTGTTGATATGTTTCCACACTGTCGACTTGATTTTAAGTACGTCGGCCTTTTTCAATTATATATAATGATCCATAGCTGCAGTAGTTGTGACTCTGTGTGCCCGTATACCGTCCCACCTACACGTCGGTCCAGGGAACCTTTTCCCAAAACCATTCCTGTCTCGTTCCACCATCGCAAGCCCGGAGGTCAAGTTTGTCTGAATGTTGTAACCACGTGAGACATGTATTTGATGGCGGGTGGTAGATTGTTCGGTTCTGAAATGAAAACACATATGAATAAAATCTGTAATTGTTTCCGCCTATCGTGGTACGGACATCCACGTTCCCCCTAATCATATGTTGGTCCTACAACATGACCTACTGCAACGTCCACGTTCCCTTAATCATACGTTGGTCCTACAACATGACCTACTGCAAAGCCCACGTTCCCCCTAATCATATGTTGGTCCTACAACATGACCTACTGCAACGTCCACGTTCCCTTAATCATATGTTGGTCCTACAACATGACCTACTGCAACGTCAACGTTCCCTCTAATCATATGTTGGTCCTACAAAATGACCTGCTGCAGCGCCCACGTTCCCCCTAATCATATGTTGGTCCTACAACATGACCTACTGCAACGTTCACGTTCCCTTAATGATATGTTGGTCCTACGACATGACCTACTGCAGCGCCCACGTTCCCTTTAATCATGTTGGTCCTACAACATGACCTACTGCAAAGCCCACGTTCCCCCTAATCATATGTTGGTCCTACAACATGACCTACTGCAGCGCCCACGTTCCCTTTAATCATGTTGGTCCTACAACATGACCTACTGCAGCGCCCACGTTCCCCCTAATCATATGTTGGTCCTACAACATGACCTACTGCAGCGCCCACGTTCCCTTTAATCATGTTGGTCCTACAACATGACCTACTGCAACGTCCACATTCCCTCTAATCATATGTTGGTCCTACAAAATGACCTGCTGCAGCGCCCACGTTCCTCCTAATCATATGTTGGTCCTACAACATGACCTACTGCACCGCCCACGTTCCCCCTAATCATATGTTGGTCCTACAACATGACCTACTGCAGCGCCCACGTTCCCTTTAATCATGTTGGTCCTACAACATGACCTACTGCAACGTCCACGTTCCCCTAATCATATGTTGGTCCTACAACATGACCTACTGCAACGTCCACGTTCCCCCTAATCATGTTGGTCCTACAACATGACCTACTGCAACGCCCACGTTCCCCCTAATCATATGTTGTTCCTACAACATGACCTACTGCAGCGCCCACGTTCCCCCTAATCATGTTGGTCCTACAACATGACCTCCTGCAGCGCCCACGTTCCCCCTAATCATATGTTGTTCCTACAACATGACCTACTGCAGCGCCCACGTTCCCCCTAATCATGTTGGTCCTACAACATGACCTACTGCAGCGCCCACGTTCCCCCTAATCATATGTTGGTCCTACAACATGACCTACTGCAGCGCCCACGTTCCCCCTAATCATGTTGGTCCTACAACATGACCTACTGCAAAGCCCACGTTCCCCCTAATCATATGTTGGTCCTACAACATGACCTACTGCAACGCCCACGTTCCCCCTAATCATGTTGGTCCTACAACATGACCTACTGCAACGCCCACGTTCCCCCTAATCATATGTTGGTCCTACAACATGACCTACTGTAGCGCCCACGTTCCCCCTAATCATACGTTGGTCCTTCAACATGACCTACTGCAGCGCCCACGTTCCCCCTAATCATATGTTGGTCCTACGACATGACCTACTGCAGCGCCCACGTTCCCCCTAATCATATGTTGGTCCTACAACATGACCTAGTGCAGCGCCCACGTTCCCCCTAATCATATGTTGGTCCTACAACATGACCTACTGCATCTTGTCGACGATGACCTACCTTGTGTATTTTGGTACCAGCTTACGAGCCTACCATTATATGTAGTGTATTCACGACGTTCTGACACTAAGCCCGAATGTGGCAGGAATTTGCCTTGTACACTTATGTATGGCCTGAGAGAGACACGTTTGCATGCACAATTTATTCCGCCGACCTTGCCGTACACCAGCGTACTTCAGCGTGCCCATAACATATTCGACGTCCGCCAGCGTATTTGCCAAGTTTTTCATACGTCGGCATACGCTGGCTAAATCGTCAAGGTGACGAACGTATATCGTAAAGAACGTATATCAACGCCGTCATTAGCGGTGGCCAACCTTTTCCCCGACCTGAGTAGTTTGTAGGACGCTGTGACGTGACGTCCCGTACACGTCATAATGGGGATTCCTTTCATAAACTTAAATCGCGTTGGCCCCAGACACAAATATATTGTTCATCAATAGATCTTCACTACCAGAGTTTCGACCGTAACATCATTACCTTACTCTACTGTGATCAGGGATCCTTGCCACAGTAACAATGACCGAATATATGCATGTATACTCACCTTTGTATAGCGAATATCTTGGTTGCCTTTCATTCTGTGACAGGGATATAGAATCGGTCGACCTTTGCCTATGTCCATGCAGTTCGCTATCAATCTCAGCTCATCGTTTGGCATGACGTAAAACACCTGCAAAGCAAGCTCACGTGTGAAAGTCACGACACAGGCGACCACAGTATGGTATTGGCATTTACTGCTGGATCAATTAGCAAAGCGATTCCGTTTATCATAAAGCATTATAAGCAAAAACAATTTAATTACTACTTCCCTGCTTGATACACCGAAGCTTGTATGCTTCTCAACATAACAGATTTCAAACGCCCCAATCAAGGGAGGCAGCGGTGGCTTCAACTGACAACTTTCAGTACGACGTTTGGTGACAGGCGGTCACAAAGCATGTACTTTTACTTCAGCTGTCAAAAGGGTACTAGTAACGTACCAGAAAATACCCCTGTTTGCGTCTGAATATTCAAATTTGTTTTTTTTTTATATTTTTATATTTTTGATTCTCCATACATCCAGGTCATACAGTTCATTACATAACGGGTTGGTATAATCACGATTCGCAAATATATACAAAGTCGATTTACAGGCAAAATGAATAGGTACTTGAAAATATAATAGGAGTACATTATATATAGCGCTAGGTTAACAGAACAGGTTGTGACATAGTGACCAAAATTTTGTGAAGCTGTCATATTTGCAATTTGAATAGGCATTAAAACGTTCAGCATAATATGTTGTCTTTACGTCTTCTATAATGTAGTTCAAATTTGGTGTTTTATCTCTTTGTTTTATTTTGTATATATTATATTTCACTACTGTTATTATCGGATTTGCAAAATGTGCATGTGTTGGAATCTTTATATTTCATTTTTGTTAGCAAATCATTTGTTGGCAGAAACCTATGCAGTATGCTGTATTGAAACCAAGAATGTTTTACACTATTATACGATTTAAAGGTTGTTTTTTCTATCGTTTCCCATATATTATCGTCAATAGACTCATTAAGTTCTTTTTGCCACTTGTTTCGATATGTTAAAGGTTTTCTTGATTTACCATTTATGAGTATGTCATACATATCTCTACATCCTTTTGGGTTTCCTACTATATTTCGTAAAAGATGTGGCAAGATCGGGGCTTGGATTTTTTCTTCAATATGGATGTTTATGGATTTGCAGTAGTATTTAATTGATTCTACTATTCCTTGACGCTCTAGGAAGTTAGTTTTGCACCCAAACGATTTTTTTAATTGTTCCACCGTTAAAAAGTTACCTTGGGCGTCAAACATGTCGTTTATATAAGTAATCCCTTTGCTTGAATAATGTTTATAATTGATTGGTTTTCCATCTATTTTTAATATTGTCATTTAACCATAAGGGTTGGATAAAATATTCCATGCATTTTCTGCTTTTTCTGCTTTTCTGGTTACGAATTTACCCCATGATTTCAAAGTGTCTTTCCAAAAATGATTTGTTTCTTGTGTTTCGCATGTTTATATAAAGCTGTCGATGTCCCAATGTGTCTCTGTTTGTAGCAATTTCCTTACTTTTGAATCTGAGTTGGTGAGTCTTTTAATCCATGATATTTTTTGTGATTGAATAAGATTTTTTATCTCTGGGGCTCGTATTCCTCCGTATTCATAATTCTTTGTGATAGTTTCTCGACTGACTTTGTTTGTTTGTTTTTCCATATAAATTTAAAGCAGAGCTGCTCAATTTCCTTAATCATTTGATCGTTTTGGTTGGGTAGAGTTACAAATAAATGATTAAGTTGCGGTAAAAGTAAACTTTTCAAGGTATTTCTTCCTGAGGGAGTTAGATCTCTTGCTAGCCTTTGATTCATTGATATTTTGAGAGTTTAACCATTTCTGCGACGTTGTGAGTAAATACAATTCCTAATAGTGTAAACGAGTCACTCTTTCCAGTCTAAATTCCAGTTTCTGCCAAAACAAATTTAGAGTTTTTTTCTGAGCCTATCCATAATACCTGTGTTTTGTTTACATTTATTTTTAAGCCTGAAAATGAGGCAAATTTACTAAGAATTTCTAATGTCGCCTGTACACATTATTAAGTGCCATCTAATATCAGCGAAGTATCATCAGCGTATTGGGAAATTAGGTATTCTGTATCTCCAATTTGTATTCCTTTTATTTTATTATTATTTCTAATCATTGTTGCCAAAATTTCTGCGCACAGTATAAAAATATAAGGGGAGATGGGATCTCCTTGTCTGCATCCTCTTGAGATATTGAAATAATTTGAAAGGAAACCATTTACAACAACACATGATTGAATGTTATTAAAGAAGGTATTTATCCATCTAGTAATCGATGGTCCAAAGTTAAAGAATAGAAGAATATTTTGAATGAAATGCCAGTCAACAGAATCGAATGCCATTTCAAAGTCAATAAGAAGTAGAATTCCTGGTATATTCATATATTCAGTATAGTCAATGATGTCATATATTAGGCGAGTACACTCACCAATATATCTTTTTGATATAAACCCTTTTTGATCCTCATTTATTATAGAGGGTAGGACTGTTTTTATTCTGTTTGCAATGGTTGATGATCCGATTTTATAGGCTACATTCAGCAATGAAATGGGTCTCCAATTCAGAAGCAAATGTTTGGATTTACCTTTTTGGGGAAAACAGGTTATAATGCCTTGCTTTTGACAATTCTCCTTTCTCGTAAGCTAAATTTAATGATCTTATAAGATACTCGTGAATATTGCACCCAAAAAAATTGAAGAATTCAACAGTGAAACCCGATGAGCCAGGACTTCTTTCATTTTTCATTTTTTTTAAGACTGTTTATTACTTCTTCATATCTTAATTGTCCTTCTAGATTTTCTTGTTGATTTTTTGATAGCTTTGGGACGTCTATGTTTTTAAGCAATTCTGTTAGGTTCGCTTTTTCGCATGGGTTTTTCGTGCATAGGTTATGGTAAAACGATTTAGTTTCAGTTATAAGATCTTCTTTTTTGGTTAGGGTTTCCTTTTAATTGTTTTCAAGTTTATATATTGCTTTGTTTAAAAAGTTTCGATTTTCTAGAGACCGAAAATATTTTGTCGGTTTTTCTCCTTCTTTCCATTTAGCTTTAGATCGTAGTAGTATCCCTTCTGTTTCTTTTTTATTAATAGTCTCTAATTCTCTATTTGCTTCTTTTTATTCATCCTGTAGCTTTGTTTTGGAATCTGTATCATGTGATGAATCTATCTTTATTTCAAGCTGATCTATGTTTTTTTCAAGCGTTTGGCGCATATTTAAATTTTCTTTCTTTTTACAGGATGAATAATTTATTGTGTGTCCTCTGATCATTAACAAAAGCGTTTCAAAGAATAGCTGATCGTTTACTTTGAAGACATATTTCCCTGTTTCGTCTACGTAAGATTTGTATTGTTCTTTGACTTCATGTTTCAGTATTTTGGTTTTTTCCACATATGTTTTATCATAGAGTAAAGAATTGTTGAATTTCCAGTAGCTTTTGCCTCTTTCTATCTCACTGATCTTTAGATTAATCCAAATTATTGAATGGTCAGACCTATATGCTGCGTCAATGCCGGTATCGTGAATTAAACTTTCGAGTTTTTTGGAAACGATAAAGTAGTCAAGTCTTGCCTGTTTGACGGGGGTTTTCTGTCTCCATGTGTATCTCTTGCTATCTAGGTTTTGTTCTCTCCATGGGTCTATTACATCATTTTCTTTCATAAATTCTAACCAGGTTTCTCTAGCTTTTGCATTATTAACGTTTTTATAGTTGAAATAATCCATTTTTATATCTTGTACAAAGTTCCAATCACCACATATGGAGAAGCTGTCGGATTGTAACTCAGCGATAATTGAGATGATTTCATGGTAAAATTCCGGCGTATCGGTGTTTGGTCCGTATATTGTTACTAAAGTAATTGTCTTATCCATAATTTTCAGTTTTAGTGCTACATAGTTTCCATTTACATCATATCTAGAGTCCTCAATGGTAAAATCAAAGCTATCATTAAAAAGTATTGCTGTTCCTCTGGCTTTGCTTTTAAAAGAACTGAAATAACAGTATTTTGATCCCCATTCTTCTTTAATTTTGATTTTCATTTCTTTTGTAAAGTGAGTATCTTGGATACAATATATATGTGCTCTTTTGCTTTTAAATTTGTTGTCTAGCTGTATGACAAACTTTCCCTCTCACGTCGAATTGTGTTCTTTTGTTTTCGCTTTGGCCGCGACAATAATCATTCATTCATTCATACCTTCGTCCAAATAGCTGCCTTCGGAAATATAAACAAAACTGTCTTTCACGAAGGATTATTGAATTGTTGTTGAGTTATGTTTCGGAAAGGGTACGTGAGGAGGTCTGTAGGGTGTAGCCTAACGTATATATTCTGTTTAACTCCTACATATGTAGATTGGACTCACTTGGTTATGAAAATACTTCTTTTCACATTTCCGTATAAGGACAAGTCTGTTCATCTGATCATATTCGCCATGGATGCAGAAAGAGGCGTTATGGTTACTATGGATCTGAAAGACAAGGGGATTTCATGTTATTCGAGAAGTAGTGATAACAGTACTGGTTGATACAGCACTAGGGTTGTGATGACGGTACTAGTACAAGTGGCAGTAATTGACGTGGTTACAACACCTGCAGTGAATGTTGTGGTTGTAGTAGTAGTGGTCACCTCAGTGGAAGTGGTAGCAGTAACAGCTGCATCAGCGATAGTAATACTTACAATACATACGATGCTTCGTATTTGCCTTCAAACAAAACGGAGTAGATGCTTGTATTATTTCACATAGATCTGCAAACTGATAATCAAACTGCTTCTTTAATAACAGTTTATTATGTTATCGTTTTGTGCTAAACAGACAGTGACCCATGACAATTATCGGATATAGATTTGAATTCACGCACAAGGCCACTTAGCGTTGCTCTTTTTGGTAAGAAGGCTGTTGTGTAGACATTCTCTAAATACCACTGGAAACTTCTACACTGGAGTTGTTGACGTAGCTGTAGACGCGCTGAAACATCCCCGTAGTTTACCTGAAAGTCGGCAAATAGATTAGATATGTGTACCTTGATAACGGCTTTTTGTCTTTCTGAATAATTGTAAGCCTGCACACCTAGGATCAAGCTGCCATTTCCATAGCTATATTTGTTTTGAGTACATGTATTTTTTTTCTTTTCTTTTTTTATTTACAGTGATGTTCAAAACCGGCACAGGTATCTGAAACGGACATAAAATATATAAAGACTTCCCGTAAGCTGTTTATTTAATTTCCAGAAACTGTCGTTTTGCGTGATTTTTCCAACTTTAGAACTTTCTCTGTAATTCTGCATGACAACCTATAGTTGCGTCACGTGGGGTGTGAGTTTATAAATAAAAAAATATTGAAAACAGTAATCATGCTTCAGATATCCTTGCATGAGGTAATTCCAAAATAGTATATTAGAAATACTTGGTGTACCTCTCATTTACAACTGTCCAGTATATAATGATGCATCGCATACATGGTTTATGACAACAAAAATCAGTTCAGTTTAATTGCTCTCTGTACACAAACATAATATAGAAACTGATGTTTATGTTCAGATCTAACTTGCATTTTCTGGCATCACGCATTTGTCTTCTGCTATGGTGGGGAAACACTGACGATTGAACTCACGTCTTATATATATATATATGACGCACGCACACACGCACACACATTGTAACGTGGCAGTGTTGTTCGTTGTGTTTCAGTGTTCCAAGTGTCCTGCACTATGCCCATTGGGCAGTGGTGTACGCTATATTTCAACTCGTGCCATATTGAGACAGAGTTCTGTACTACAGGATACTACAACACTATGGGTCAGTCAAGAATATTCTCACCCAGCGAGTTGCTGAATCGTCTGGAGTGTTTTTCTAAGGTATATAAGGCCTCTCATCTCACATTACATCGCAAGTTCCAAGGAGTCCAGCAATAGGGTGAACCTCAGGATTGTTTCGGCAACTTGACCATTATTGCAGTGAAGTGTGTATTACCAATACTGTCGTTATCTGCTTATTTTAAGTTTAATCTCCTGCCATATATATGATGGTTTTGTTCCCAGTAACATATTGTAATTCATATTGTCTGCTGTCGGCCAAGTTTTTATATCTATAATCGTAGATGAAAAGCATTGCCTATTATCTCTCACCATGTGTATAGAGTGTGAATGTGTGAGCGAGTGTGGTGTCCTTGTCTCATGTAAAAAAAGACCACAAATACTCAGAAAGTTTTTTCTTCGTGTTTTGGTGTGTGCAATGGGGCTCCTGCTACCCTGGGCAAGAGCTCCTATTTGCAACAGGGCTTTCTGAAATAAAAAGTTAATCAAAAACAATTCTGTCTTTATCACTGTTTTATATTATACTGCCTTGTGGTTAAAGCGCTCGCTCGTCACGCTGAAGACCCAGGTTCAATTCCCCACATGGGTACAGTGTGTGAAGCCCATTTCTGGTGTCCCCCGGTGTATTATTGCTGGAATTGTACTAAAAGCGGCGTAAAACTAAACTCACTCACTATTCTGCCTTTGAATTTGAACTGCCACTAAAAATACCTTTTTAGAGATTTGGATTAAGTTGTGAACTTAGTTAATCTTAGAATACAATTGTTGATAATAACACACTATTTTGTTGTTTCTTGGTTTTACACCAAGTTCTTTTACGGATTGATTTCCGGTGAACTACCGAAGGTGGAAAGGGAAATCCACTACAAGCTTTTATTGGCTTTACTCTCAATACAAAAATACCGTGTAGTTAGTAATTAAATAACGTGGCTTGACTGTAAAGTCTAATATTACTGCGACCTCCAATACGCTCTGTTAATAGGACTACATGTACTGCAAGTTACTCGCCAGTTTCCTTCCCGACACCCTGGAGTAGAAGTGCTTGTACTCGTCCAGCCACACAGCCGCTGTCCTCAGCGTGTTACGTGTCCACTTGCCGGTGTTGGCGCCACCACTGTTTGGGTTCCTTGACCGAAAGATGTGGCCAACAACAGAACAAGGTATCAGCTCGATTGATCCTCCACACATCCAGATCTGCAACAGACATGTAATATATATTATACCACTGATCAAGAAACCTCAGCTGGATTCAAACAACCTAAAAAATTACAGACCAGTCTCCAACTTGCCCTTTGCTGCTCAGGTCATGGAGAGAGTGGTAGCGTCAAGGCTTCATGATCACATCATAAGAACTGGGAAAGCAGAAACGTTGCAGTCTGCATACCGATGTCATCATAGCACGGAAACGGCTCTTGTGCGTGTGCAGAGTGAATTGCTGCAGGCAATTGATTCAGATGGTGCGGCAGTGTTGGTGTTGCTCTATTTGACACAATTGACCAGTCCATTCTTCCCAACAGATTGAATGAGAGATGTCAGGACGATTTCAGGCTGTGAGAGTCAATGGGCAAATGTCAGAGAAAGTTAGTTCCACAGAGTTCTGTACTGGGACCAGTCTTGTTCACTATCTACACATCACCTCTCGGGGACATTGCTCGCGCCAATAATCTCTCGTTCAATCACTACGCTGGTGACACCCAGCTGTATCTGGCCTTCAAGCCCTCCAACAGAACAGCAGTAGAGGATACATATCGTTGTTTGATGAACTGTATCAAGGACATCAATGATTGGATGACCCTAAACTTTCTCAAGCTCAACAGTGAGAAGACGGAACTGCTGATTCTCTCTTCAAAGCCAACGAGAGGCAAACTTGCTCTGTCCACCTTTGAAATTGGAGGCTGCATCATTGAACCAAGCAAAGAAACACGAAATCTGGGATTTGTATTTAACTCATGTATGTTTGCAGAGTCTCATGTAAACAAAGTATGCAGACATGCATATTTTAGTATCCGAAACATTGCTCAAATACGTCGATTTGTAAATCTAAAGATCGTAACATCTCTTGTTCAGTGCTGTGTTGTGTTAACGAAACTTCATTGGTTGAAGGTGGCGGACAGAATCAATTATAAAGTGCTCCTTTTAACCTTCAAAGCAAGGACAGGCCTAGCCCCTGTGTATCTCCAGGAACTCCTCCAGGAATAGAAGCCCGCGAGGTCTCTTAGATCCATGGGACAAGGCATGCTGTTTGTTCCACACGCAAGGACCACCACCTATGGAGATCGATCCTTCACCAGATCAGCTCCACGACTCAGGAATGATCTGCCATTAAAACTGAGACTTATAAATAACTTGGCCACTTTTAAAACCAATCTCAAGTACTCACCTTTTCTCAAAGACATAAGACTAGACCGAGTGGACATTGCTGATACATGTGACATGCATCCTCTCAAAGCGCTTTTGAGCAGTTATACTGACTGGATTCTTGCGTTATATAAGTTCTTAGTTGATGATGATGATATATATGATGGTTGTATTTTAGTTACGTTATGGTGTGCCTGCGTGCCTGTGAGAGGTAAGCCTTGAAAATGTGATATTCAGGTTGCTAGTCTTGAGATTCCAGCTACTCAGTCCCACAACGATACACTGCTAATGGACGTCCCTCCGTCCACATGGCCTCGTGTCACGCTCGATCATACAATTTGTACAGCTGAATTCTATTTTGATCCTAAACAGACCCGGTTTCCAGTATGAATATTTAAAAATATCATTTAAAATTCCTTGACATTTTTCTTTACCATGCTGTGATGTAAATCTACGAATAAGACTACATAAAGACAATTGACTGTCCTTGCAATTTGTGTTAAATGGAACAAAAACATAATTATTTTGCTGCGTTATATTTGTATATTTGAGATAACATTCACATGTTATTATAATACATGGAGACTGTTCCATTTTGTATACCATTGTGAACAAAAACAAATTAATATCCAAGCATTCACTGGTTTAAACCGAAGTACCAATGCTCAATCAATGACGTTATTAAATATAAGAACAACGCTCAGTCACGACTTTATATGACTCATTCGCTATGAATCATTCACCTATTCTACTGTTCAGAACATTACTGATTAAAAGTATGATCACACAGTGTAAAAGAAAATGATATTTTTGCCTATTAGTAACTTCCAGTGAGATAAATAAATAAGATTTAAATTATATATATCGCCCGCCCTTTCGTTCTTGAAATAAACTCGACAGATGAGCAATATGTTGTGGCCGTAACGATCCAGGAGCTCGACCAAGTGGTGGTTGTGGAATTGGGTTTAACGTCGTGCTTGAGAATATTTCGCTCATATGACGACGTGCATGCGTGTGTATGTGTATGTGCGGCTGCTTGTACTAGCCCAGACTGAAGCTGGTGTTATAGTGCTAGCCCACTGAGATACCATGCCGCAGTGAAGCATGAATACCCCACTCAGACACATTATACTGACTCCGAGCCGACCAGTCCTTGTTGTACTCATTAATGCCGAGCGCCAGGCAGGGACCAACAAGTACCATATTTTAACGTCTTTTGGTATGACACGGTCGGGGATCGAACCCGCGACCTTCCGCACTCCGGGCAGACGCTCTAACCACTACACCACGGAGGCGGTCCTGGACCAAGTAATGACCACGGATCAAGACAGGTGTGCAAAAATGTGACCTGACCAATGTCAATATATGTCGAGAATATGTCACTTGATATAAAAGGGCGCGCACCCCATGTTTACGGAGCACACTAAACATTCTGATGTGAAATCGTATCTCCCAGCTGGCCACAAAACAAACGCAAATTATTTCATAATAATTGTTTGCATATTGTTGCATGTTAAGTACACAAGTAAACAGCTAACATTTTTGACCTGCAAAACATAATGTTAATTATTTGTGTGTGGTTTTGATTCTCATATGATTATTATCAAAAAATATATCGCCAACCCCTTTTCTGTTGGATATTGTTAGGTGTGGATTTGGTTAACTTGAATAAGTAGTTAATCCAGTTAGCTAGAGTGCAGACAAAGCAGGAAATACACAGCCACTCTTACGGTATTATCTGCATGTTGTGATTTGTGGATAGGCTGGCCGCGTGATCTTTGTGTTCGGGTTTCTTTCTGTGGAAGGACTCGCACTTGACAATTAGAACTGGTGTTTTCCATGGACATGTACTCAAATAGTTTGTAGACAGCAACGACACTTTACAAGATTTGAAGTCTAATGTGAAGCAGGACAACATAGTGACTGTGGGAAGCAAGGAAGACATGACCTTGATGACATACACTTACAGTTCGTTCAGGACCCATGAACTTCCACCCATCTTCCAGCATAAGGGAAGTGGGGTTTTTTAAAACAGTATCTGGGTTTACCGTCAGGTTAAAAGTGAGAAACCTGAAACGGAACTTGATACTGGATTGGCGTTTTCGATTATCTCTGCAGACAAATATCAGAAGAAATTCAGTGACATAACATTGAACATAACAAGTGACCTGATGATGTCCTATACCCAAGAACCATATATGAGAAGAAACCCTTGATGTGAGTGTCGAGTGTCAAGAAGTATATTACAACAGGGCCACCACTCTCAAGGGGGTCGTGATTGAGGCAGATTTAACGAGAATGCTAAAGTCACAAACTAGGTTGGAGAACATGCAACACAAACATCGTCAAGAAGCCACCAGTTCTATATCCCATATCGTATAATGGGTAGGTTTCACGGCAGGATAAAGCAAGCAGATACAAACGGTATCCCAGGGCTGATACACTGATAGAAATGCAAATATTCAAAGTTCAAGTTTGTATTACTTTCAGTGTTTATAAATAAAAATGGTATCCCTTGTCAGTCTGTGATGGAGTCTGAAACATGGAGAAACTACAATGATAATTGTTATTATTATCAAAATATTAGATTAAATATTGAAGATCAGTATCTAAGTGGGACGTAGCTAAGACGATTTACAATTTTGGAGATACAATTGAGGAGGATACGTGCTTGTAAACTCTCTGTTGACCTATGCTGAATAAGGCCTTTCCCATATTTGCCCCTATACTACATTTATCAACAAAAGGCCCAATCATTTCAATACATCGCAATGACAGGGCTACTGCCAAACATGATAAAGCTACCTGCGTGCGCTGAAAAGTCGAATTACCATGTGAAAGTAACTTCACAATTAGTACTAGTCAAACAAAGTTTTATTTTTTACTTTTGCTACATTTGGAGCAACGTAAGTTACAGTGACTTCTCTTGTGTATAACGCTTCACACAGAGTGTACATCTGAATTTGCTACGTGTATGGAAGCATACGTATGGCGTGAAAGACACGCGTTAAGTCGTGACCCTTGGTACTAATTTGTCTGTCCGCACACAAGACTACGTATTGAGCTATCGAAACAGTACTATGGTATTTGGATTGGGTAAGGTCCTTTTCGGCAAAGATATAAGTTAGTGGGGGTTAACTGAAATTCTGTCAAGAACTATATCTCAGTTTACAAACTGGTGATTGAGTGCATGTACTGAAAGTGTAGTTTTGGAGATAGTTGTGTTGCATGCAACCTTGCTGGCAGAATGTAGTTTTAAGAATGTCATGAGACATTTGTTTCTATGAATGTTTTGAAATGTTCAAGCATTTCAATTTTAAAGGGCCAACTAATAAAGATATTGCATCAGCCTTACAGTGTTCCGTCAAATGTGCATTAATAGGTGTAGTGTCATATCACTAATTTTCGACCATGCTCACACCCACACATTGCCAGTGCATATGGTATACACCCTGAATCCAAGGTTCAACTTTAGAAACCTCCCCAAGTCCACATGTGGTTTGAATTTGCGTCCACGACTCGGTTATGACTAGCGAACATCTTGATCCGGAGTAGCAGGCACAGATCAATGCCTTAACAATTCAATGTAAGGAGATATATAGACTCCTCCTCGGGGCATGACCTAACCATTTCTGCTGGGGGTCTATATCACCTGGAGTACGTCATTTGGTACTGTGTTTAAGTGTTAATCAGTCGCCCTAGCCGTGACAGATGTTTCCACAGGACGTTTTACACGCAATTCTCAGTTTCGAGGTGGGGTACCGACTGTTTTCAGTGCGACTACATCTATATCTCGTGAGAGCCTTCCTTGATTCAGGTGTTGTTGCCTTTCATGC